GAGCGTGGTCAAGGTGGGGGGGAGAGAAGCACAAAGGATGCTGGGAGTGTGGTCAAGGTGAGATGGGGGAGGAGCACAAAAGATGCTGGGCATGATCATGCCCTTCATTGTACAGCCCCAAGGCAGCTACCTCCCTCCCCAGTTCGCGCTGGGAAGCCCTGATTGGACTGACACCCTTGACCCTTCCCCCAGGGGAGGGGGATGGCCTCGGTCATTTGTTCGCGCTGCCTTCCCGCCTCAGGTCTGGCCCCTCCACTTCGCACATGCGCAGTGATTGGAAAGAGCGCCTCAGTTCACGGCGCACGCCCGGGCCTTGTTTAGAGAGAGCGGCCCGCATGCGCAGGAACGTGATTTCCTCAGGCTTGCGCACAATCGATTGGGAAAAGATGCGGCGTTTGCGCGGTCACGTTCGCGCATGCCCAGTATGCTCCGCGACGCTGACGCGAAGTTTGGCACATGCGCAACCACTGTGTGGCGCGTGCGTCGTGAACACCTCCCGCCTGGAGGGGCTCGGCGCGTGCGTAAGTTGGAGGGGTTGGCGCATGCGTACTAGATGGCTGTGGTGCTGAGGGGAACTTGAGAAACCTAGTACAAAATGGCGGCAGATGGGCGGGCTCCGAGCTGTGTTGGGGATGGAGAGTAACCAGCCCCTGGCAGCCGCCTAACCGGTTAGCGGCTCAGCGAGCACAGGAGGGGCCCTTCAGGGGAAGGGGTCCGTTAAAAGCCCCGTAGAAAGCGAAGGGGGCGGGGCTGCGGCGCGTACCCGGGGAGGGAGAGCGAGGCGCGCGCTCCCGCGACGCTCCCACCGTTTCGCGCGAGTGCGCGCACTTCCCAGCCAGAGTGTCTCGGGACCGGGAGGGGGCGCGTGCCCGTGAGAGAGGCCGGGCGGTGGGCTGTGCCATAGAGAGGAGGGTACAGCGGCCTCCGGGCTAGGCCGGGCCCCGTTCAGCGTGACGGGGTTTCACCTCCGTGCGTTGGGCCCGCTCGAGGGGGCGGGGATAGAGCCGCGCCATTGCGGGGGGGCGGGGGGGGGCTGGGCGGGCGGGGGGGGGGGGGGGGGGATGAGACCCTCGCGCGCGCCGTAGGGAGGGCTGCGCGCGCGGATCGCGTGCGGGCCAGGGAGGGCTCGGGTTGAACGCGTGTTGCCTTGGATGGTACGTCACGGGCTGGAGGCAGCGGCGGGACCCTGGTGCACAGGTGCACTGCTGCTCGTTGCGGTGTGCACCCTAGGGAGACAGGGCCACCCCAGCACCCAGGGGTTGCGCTGCTTGCATTACCGCGTGGCACGCCCTGCGAAGCCCTAGCACAAGGCGCGGAGGGTGGCAGCGGGTGCATGGTTACATGCATCCTTCTTTGGAAGCGGCCCTGGTTAAATATAGCAATCCCCGTGCGGCCGCAAGCCCAGCCCATCTCTGCCCGGGCGCGCGCCCAGGAGGCGCGCTCCCCCCCCGGGCGAGGGGGGAGGGGAGGACGGCTGAGCGGTGCACGCGCTCCCGGCCGCGGCGGAGGGTAGCGGCGCTGTTGCTGCTTGTGCGACCAGGGGAGGAAGATGGCGGCCGGCGGCGGAGGCAGCAGCAAGGCCTCCTCGTCGTCGTCCTCCTCGGCGGGGGCCCTGGAGGCGTCGCTGGACAGGAAGTTCCAGTCGGTCACCAACACCATGGAGTCCATCCAGGGCCTGTCGTCCTGGTGCCTGGAGAACAAGAGGCACCACAACACTATCGTGTATCACTGGATGAAGTGGCTGAGGAGATGTGAGTGGGGGGGGATGGGAGCAGGACTCCGGGGGGGGGGGCACCATGGCGGGGGGGGGAGGTGGGGGGGGGGGGGGGCTCGTGAGAAAAAAGAACCACGGCCTCATTATCTGTCCCTGGGTGAGCGAAGAGGGCACCAGGAGGGAGATGTGGGGGGCGGGGCATCTAGGAAAGTAGGCACCACAACCCCATAATTTTTCATTGGAGGAAGCGAGAGAGAGAGGGGGGCAAATGTAATGACTCTCCGTTCAACCATTGAAACAGGTTAGCCAGGGTCATGGTGAAGTCTCCGTTGCTAGCCATTTTAAAATCAAGATTGGGTGTTTTCCTAAAAAGCATGTTCTAGGAATTGTTTTGGGGAAGTTCTCTGGTCTGTGTTATGCAGGAGGTCAAGCTAGATGATCACAGCGGTCCCGTCTTGACTTGGACTCTATGAATTGGGAGAGTGAGATTAGGAGGGAGGCATTAGGGGCTGTGAGGGACTCTGGGGAAATAACCCCTTTCTTCCTTTCACTTGCCTTCTATGTCTAGTCCCTTCTCCCCATTTTCCAAACCCTGTTAATCCAGACATTTCCCCTGATATGAATCCCCCCCCCCCCCCGTTATCCAAACCCTATTGAGAAATCTGTGGTTCCATGTCTCTTATCCTATGATTCCCACCCTACAGACTCTTTAATCTGCGTCTTGTTTATAGTCCCTTACTGTGCATTAGGTTCTCAGTGGCTTCCCCCCAGTTATTTAAGCCACCTCCACTCCTACCCAAATGGTTCCTTTATTGTGTTTTAAATACTTTGGAGTCTATAAACAAAACTATCAGTCTGTGTACAGCTGGTACAATCAGAGATGTTTGCAAAATGCATTGGTTTTCTTAGCTTAAAAAATGCCATTTCTTTCATTTATTAATAGATGATTTGTGGTGTTAATAAGAAGTAATAGAAATGCATGGTACCTCTTGCATTGTACCTCTTTAAAATAGATCTGTTTCAGAATTTAAAAAATCTTGCTTATGCATTTGGGAATTTAGTGATGTGAATTTCTAAATTGGTTGAGATCTTTGTTTATAGTTCAGGACAAGTCTGGGAAATCTGTTGCGTTGCTTAGCATATTTGTATGTGTGGTATTTGATTCACAAGCAGAAATGTTCAGTTTGAAGTGGATGTGAGTGTATATCATTTACAGTAATAGACATTCTAACACAACTTCACAAAAGTCCAAAAACTGTGGTGGGAATCAACAGAATGTTTGGGGTAGGGAGAGAAGGAGTGTCTTGAGAGGATGAAGGGGAGATAACTACCTTCTTGTACCACAGGTTTCAAACATATATTTAATAATTGATAGCTAGTCGTCTTCTAGCTTTAGTTAACTTATTGAAGTTAAGGCTCTCTGGGGCATAATTATCCAGAGAAGAAATTTTTGGAGCACGTAACTTCTAGGCAAGCCCTTCTAATCTCTCTCAGTTCTATCATATGGCATTATCATTGCTGTGCATGTTGCTTACAGTGTTAATCAGTAGCTGAGGAGTCCTCTCCAGAGTCTCAGGTAAAGATTTTCGTATACAATTCCAAGAAAAAAATAAGGATGTAAATTAACCGCCTGAAACATCAGCTCTCATTTTTGGATGCTAGCCACAGTCTTCTTCCCCCACTCCCAAAATAGTAGTCTCTTTAGATGTGGGTAGGAGGAAGAGTACTGGATATTAAAATCAAATCTAGAGAGCACTGGCCGTAGTTGTATTGTGGACTTGACAGTGGAGAGATTAATCTTTTTCACTAGTCTAAACATGGTTTGATCATCTTTGCTGGAATTGCTCTTTCATATGTTCTTAAAACATTCAAATCTTGTACTGTCTCAGTATGAGCTAAAGTAAGTTTTGCGGGAGCAAGAAGGTAACATTAAAGTGGCATTATAACTCTGTTATGCTTAAAAATGTTTGAAATAGTTTCGTTTTCCATATTAAGAGATGATTCTCTAAGTTGCTGAGTGCCCTTTTTTCCTTGTTTACTTTGTATTTGAGGGCTCTCCACAGGAGGGAAAGCAGGATTGAGTCCTCATTCAGGAGCTGTGTCCTGCACTTACATCACTTATTCTAATCTGTGCAGGCTGATAAATGCTGTGAATTAATTGGCAGAATAGATTGTAAATTGTTATGAATCTTGATACTTGTGAGGTACAGTTATTAGGGCTTGAATTGCAGGTATTTGTCTAGATGCAGAGATGATGGCGAGTAACTATATTATACACTGCTTCAGTTAGCATAACTGTGTTTGCATTTTAAAATCACACATCAATTCTTCCTAGCAGTCTGAAAGTCTCAAAAGCAAGACTTGCTTGTCATTTGGAATAAACTGAGATGTATCTTGCAACAAATGTCCATGAAAATTAAGGTTTTGGAGCAGTCTGCAAGTAAAGGGGACATTTTGTGAGAGTGAGACATTTGCAACTCAGCTAGCATGCGGGTTCAAATAGAAAATTAAACTAATTTCCTTGCCTTTTAATTAGCATAAAAAACACTTAATTGTTGAAATTCTCAACGGTACAGTTGTCTGACTTACTAAAATTGTAAACAGTTTGTTGTTATCAAAGGTTGTAATTAAACTTTATTTTCAGATATGTGAACTCAAATGAATATCTTAGTGAGAAGTGAATCTTACTTCTAGGGCTGGGATTGCTGGGCAGAGCAAAATAGAATAGTTCATAATTTTCTTTTGTTTTGCTAGCGTGACAAGTAGTTAAGTTGTTGTTTTTTTAATGGTATCATGTAAGAATCAAAATATTAACTCTTAAGAAGCTGCTTTTGTCAAAACCTCTAATGACCTCTTTTCTAAAGCTCAGAACTAGTACTCCATCCTCATCCTCAATCTGTCATCTGCCTTTGACACCATTGATCATGCTCTTCTTTATATCCTGTCCTGTCATGGCTTCCATGACTGTGTCCTCTCCTGGTTCTCCTGTCACCTCTCTAATTGTTCCTTCAATGTGTCCTTTGGCTCATCCTCTTCATCCCCCACATTTCTATGCAGTTTCCACAGATCTCTGTCCTTGGGCCCCTTTTTTCTCTATACTTTACCTCTGGGTAATCTCACCTGCAAAGAAAATTCAGCTACCGTTTCTCTCTGCTGAGGACTGATCGACCTCTTTACTCCAGACCTGTCTTCTGTCCAAACTAAAATCTTGGTCTTTCTGACATCTACTTGTGAATGCCTAGCCATCAGCTCCTTCTCAACATGGATAAAACAGAGCTCTTAATCCTCATCCCCCACGAACCTCCCTGTTACCTCCATTCCCGTCCACTGTGGACAACACCACCGTCCCGCTTGTCATTCAGGCCTCTAACCGGGGCACCATCTTTGATTCAGATCTCTCTCTAAATCCTCAAATTTAGGCTGTTTAATTTTCCACATAGGGCCTTTCTTGTTCATCCACTTCTAAAACTCTTGTCCGGGCAGTCCTCTCGCATCTTGATTACTGCAACATCCTTCTCTCTGTCCTCGAGAAATGCAGTTTTGCTCCACTCATATCCATTCAGAATGTTGTCACAAAGATCATTTTCTTAGACCATGTAATCCCTCTTTTTGCATCCCTCCTCCGGTTCCCCCTTCTCTATCACATCAAACAAGCTGTTTACTTTCAATTTGAAGGAGCTTCATGGCCTATCTGCTCCCTACCTATCATCTCTTAAGCTTAAGGTTAAGATTTTGTCACAGTTATTTTTAGTAAGTCATGGACAGGTCGCAGGCAATAAATAAGAATTAATGGGAGCCTGTGACCTGTCTGTGACTTGTACTAAAAATAACTGGGGGTGTGGGGGGAGGGAAGGAATTACAGCCCAAGCCCCACTGTGTGGGGACTGGCAGCCTGAGCCCCACTGCAAGGGCTGGGGCGCACAGCCACGGGAGGGCAGGAGGGCACACATCTCCTGCCACTGATAGCTGAAGCCGAAGAAGTCACAAAAATGCAGTAAAGTCACAGAATCCATGACCTCTGCGACTAAATCATATTCTTACTTATGCACCATTGAGACATTGACTTCCTGCCTTCCCATCAGCCCAGGATGCATAGGGCCCTACCAAATTCTGACTATTGTAGGGGAGACCAGATTTCACCGAGTTGGGCAGCCAGAGAGTGGTAGCTGCTGGCTGGGAGTCCAGCTCTGAAGTCAGCAGCAGCGTAGAAGTGAGGGTGGTATGCTATGGTATTGATGATTACCTGTTCTGTTCATTCCCTTTGAAGCACTGGCACTGATCACTGTCAGAAGACAGGATATAGGGCTAAATGGACCTTTGGTCTGACCCAGTATGGCCATTCTTATGTTACTGCCACCCTTATTTCTGTGCTGCTGTTGGCGGTGGTGCTGCCTTCAGAGCTGGGCACCCAGCCAGCAGCTGCCCACCGGCTGCCCAGCTCTGAAAGCAGCACCACAGATGTAAGGGTGGCAGTATCACTACCACCCCCACAATAGCCTTGTGACCCCCCCCCCACTTACCCCATTTTGGGTTGGGACCCCCACGATTACAATACCATTACATTTCAGATTTAAATATCTGAAACTGAAATTTATTATTTTTAAAATCTTATGTCCATGAAATTGACCAAAATGGTCCATGAATTTGTAAGGCCGTAATGATGCAGCTTCCATCACCCATTTGATACGTTTTCCGACACCTTCATGCTTTCTTCTATGCTGCCCGTCATGCCTGAGAGGAACTCCCCATAAACAGCACAAAACTAATTATTCTCCTTCAGATTCCACCTTAAAACTCTCCTTTTCTATCATCCCTACAAAAACTTGACAATAGTTAGGTGGCATTGTACTGAGTCCACCGCCTATCATGCTGAGCCAATTTGTCTCATTGTTTCCTCATACTCTCTTACCTGTCTCTGTATCCACCTGTTGTTCGTTGCCTTATACTTAGGGTATGTCTACACTTACCAGGGATCGATGCGGCGATCTATCCACTGGGGGTCGATTTAGCGGGTCTAGTGAAGACCCGCTAAATCGA